TATTTGACATATTCGTTTTCACTGAAAGTAACCCCTCCTTGAGCCTTTTTTTTTTTACTGTGTGATTAGTTTGAAATTCCCATAGTTTTGACAGGTTTACACTAATGTTGTGCATCAAACTTGATATTTCAAAACAGAAATTAAAATTGTGTAGTTGCTATGAGATTTAATTTTGCTACATTTTATTGTTTTAACTCTTGCAGATGAAGCCAGGACCACCCTAGTGAAAGGTCAGTCAGTTTTCTAAATTGGCAGCTTTGGGGGGTGTTTAAAGGAAGTATGGCATAATGCAGGGACCATAAATAAACATAGTACAAAGGATCCCCGGTGATTACATGTTAAAGCAGTATGAGAACTAGGTAACACACTGAGGGAATTTGGAGAAGGAACAAAAAGTTAAGTAAAACAAATAGTTCAGGGAACAAGGTGACAGAGGTATACTGTTTTTCAGTAGGTTTAAATTGACTGCACATCATCTCATCCAGGCAATAACGTCCTAGTTCACTAGCTTATTTCCTGTTGTAGATAAACATATTTACAAACTAAGGAGCTTATAGTTAATTATTTTGTAAAACAACAATAAATGAATATAATAAGAGTTATTTGTCACATTAATACAGAAAGTTTAAAGAATATGGTGTGGATGGTAGCTACAATATCTTACAATATTAATAAGAACTTCTTATATCTATGTGAGATTTCTGCATTTGAGTTTCTGGGTCTGCACACGTGCTTTGGCTATTTTTGAGGGCCCCCCACTCTCCTATTTAAATTTTTTCCTTACATTCTGTATTATGCAGAATGTAACAGGAGGTGCTGTGACATGAAAAAGTGGAAAGAAACATTACAGACTCCAAAGTTGTCAGATAAAGTCGGGTAGGTGAGTCAGACATTATGTCCAGAGATCACCCTACTAAATTACTCAAGACATACATAGAGCCAGGATTTGGCCCACCAGGCTCTACTTATAAATAAAACTTCACTTGTTGGGTGACTGATCCTTTAACATAAGGAAATGCTGGAACATACTAGAACTGGCAATAGAGCTTACTGTGAGCATTTGTTTTGGGGTCCATCATGTGGCATATAGTGCAAAAGGAGCAGATATAAAGTTACTTTAAGGGCCAGTCTAAAAAAACATCCATTTAGGTTGACTGGTACACACTGCCTTCTTTAGGGGTTGATATTTTCAGGTTAGAGATGGTTTTGCTTGTGCAGCTCAGTATAGAAGTAAATGGGGAGAAGGACAACTTCTGCTTCCGACCGCCTAGGCGATCGAACGGAAGTGGGAACAGGTACTTTTCTAATTCGAGTACCTGCTCCCCCGCACCCCCCAAAGGTGCCAATCCTTCACGGGGAGTGGAGGATGATGCCTTAAAGCAGAACTTCCCTGTTTGGGTGGTTCTCCGCTGTAAGAACATTTTCAGAAAATACACAAAATGCCTGAAATCTTGTTAGAAATTCTGTGTCCTTGCCACTTTATGTGAGCTGCACAGAAGAATATCTTCCTTCTTCGCTATCTTCTGTAAACTGACAATTGCCCTGCCAGCCATGTAATAGAGATGAAAATATGGCCATGTTTTTATTGCTTATTAGGAGAACAGCTTACGGTGACAACCATACTGTTTCGTTCATAGATCCAGTGGAGAGGTGATGCACCCAACCAGGAGCAGGACGTGTGTTACTTGCAGGATAACCAGGGGGAAACAAAGCAAAATAAGCTTGAAAAGTGAAGATGAGTGCAGCCACCACACCAGGGACTAGTAATCTGCAATATATTGCATTTTTTATTTTGAGTTTAGCTACTCTTGATGGATTTATATATTTTATTTATTTATTTCAGGTACTTATATAGCACCATCAATTTATGCATCGCTTTACATGTATATATATATATATATATATATATATTCACATCAGTCACTAACCCTCAAAGGGCGTACAAACTAAGGTACCTAACTTACATTCATACATACACATACTAGGGCCAATTTAGACAGGAACAAATTAACCTACCAGCATGTCTTTGAAGGGTGGGAGGAAATTTGACTACAAGGAGGAAACCTACGTAGGCACAGGAAGAACATACAAACTCCAGGCAGGTGGTGCCATGGTTGGGATTCGAACCAATGACCCTAATACTGCCAGGTGAAAGTGCTAACCATTTAGCCACTGTGCTGCCCATATATTTGCTCATGCAATGTTATCTTAATCGTACAGTACATGGCAGTAATATTCATAGACCATTGGTTTTATATTTATATATATATATGATACCTTTAGGTGATTGGACACTGGACTGCCCCTAGAGCGCACTCACATAATCCCACCTAGAAAAAAAGGTGGCCTGGGAAAAAAACATTTTCCTTTTTTTTTTTTTTTTTTTTTTTTTAAAGCCGTTTTGTTTTTTTCCTGAAAAATTGGAAGTATGGAATATGTTCTTTTACAATGATAAGTATTATATCTATGACCTGATATTCAAACTATATAACATGAAGACCTTAATGAGAGATTCATGAGATTTTTTGTAAAGTCTTAAATTATTGCAAGTTCTCTTGCAATGCATTCATTGCTCTTCTCAGTGCAGTTCTCAAACCAGAGAAATATGCATTTCTGCCACTGGGCACTGCTGGGGAAATGCTCCAGTATAGTTTGCTTATGGGCTCCATCTTCTACCTCCTACAGTTGGATAAATTTGTCTGACAAATTAGTTTATCTTTTTTAACCTTTAAATGATTCCTAATAATGTTCTCCACCATCACAGCATAATGTTTACCTATAGTCTGGTTAGTACATTTTTTTTTTCTTTTCATCTTCCCAGTGAAATGGTGAGACCAACATCTACACACAGTTTGGAAACATTTCCACAGTGCGGTTTCTGCCAAGAGCAAAGATGCAATTTACAAATATTGTGAGAAAAAAATATTATTTTCAAAATGCTACAAGCATAACAAAATGCATCCTTGCATGCCAAAGTTTCCCTAAAGATATTAACAAATACTTAAAGGAATTAAATGATGAGGACCATAATGAAAGTACAAGTAGCTTTTCCCTTGAGAGTTCTCATTCCAAAATCACTCTTTCTAATGCTTCTGGATCTACACAAAATGTTTCTTCACCAGCAGCATCTTCAAGTAAGAAAGTGTTACAAACCACTGCCTCACAAAAATATACAATCTCTTTATTTATAGATAAAATTACATTGTAAAATCAGGAGAACATTGACCAAGCCCTTGCAAGAGAAATATTTGCTTCTGTAACAGTATTGTCAATAACTGAAAATGCATATTGGCAGGAAGCTTTTACTTTATTACAAGTGAATGGGGGGTGGTTACTTGTTTCTTGCATAGTTGAAATATTCTTAGCATATGCAGTTCTTGTTATTCCATTTGTAATTAAAAAAAAAAAAAATAGGCAAGTTTAGTTTATTTACTGAATAGGCTGTATTTTATTTAGAGCATAATACTTTTATATATACACTGCATTTTACCTTCCAAATGTCACAAAATTACTTTCAATTTGTAAAACTACTCCACACTGGGCTTTTTTTTTTTTTAATTCTTTCGCAAATATAACATTTTACTGGAAATAAACTTTTTTTCCCCATGGTTTAAAAATTTCCGCAAATGTTACATCTCTAATCCCACCCCACTTTTTCTTTATAAACCATTTTTTTCCTCTGAAGCTTCTATCAAGATCTGAATGCTGATTGACCTGAGCTACCTAGAGGTTTCTAGATTTTTGTTACCCTCTGTGTGTACCTTGGGGACCAGACCCTGACCAGTAATGTTTGCTTTGGACAAAGGATCCTATGTTAGGTGCTCACCATGGCATGTAGTGCAGCATGTATAGTTAAATCTCAGGGCCAAAACAGGTCAAGGCCAGGATCCTTTTCTATGATTCCCAGACCCTGAAGACCCCTTTTGAGGTATGCCTACTGTGTTGGGCAAAGCTTGGACCTGTAATAGGCACAGCTTCATGAATAGGATAATACAGTGTTTCCCTGTATTTTGACACTGGTTTCTTGCTTTTTGTAACACAGTCATATCACACTATGCGGTTTTATAGGCAGAGAATTTGAGAGGTTATTCTCCGGAGATATTTCAAAATCTTTGTCAGTGGTGGGGAAAACAAGATGTGGACATCCTGAACTCCAGATTCAACAACAAGATGAACAAATGTGTGTCCAAACTCGGGGGTCATCTAACCTTCACAGCGTATGCTCTAGTGATTCCTTTGACTCCATTAAAGCTGGTCTATGCCTTCCCTCCAATAAAGATCCTCTTTCAACTGCTCCGCAAGATGGGAGAGGAAAGGGTTTCGGTGCTTCATATTGGACCAAACTGGCTCAGAAAAACATTGTACAAAGACATACTTGGACTTCTGGCAATGGGCCTTGGCCTCTTCCAAACAGACCAGACTTATACTAGACCAGGGTCCCCTAATCCCTGTTTCTTTGTTGCTGACTGTAACGGAAGCATAGGCAGGACAGAGCACACGGAGAAGATGGGGAACACACAAACTTTATTGAAGCAACAAATTGACAGACACTCAATAGGGAAATGGCAGGGAGGGTGATGTGTGCGCAAACCAGGAACTATTCCAGGCACGGGGGGGATTTTCCGCGACAGGCAGGCAATCTCCCCCCCTAGGCTTGGGGCCTCAGCCGAGCTCCCTCCGTGACTGGACAGCGGATTGGAGACTCGGGCAACATGTGGCAACCTACCACTGGGCAGGGGCCTCGGACAACAGACAGCAACCTACCACTGGGCAGGGGCCTCAGACAACAGACGGCAACCTACCACTGGGCAGGGGCTTTGGGCAACAGACAGCAACCTACCACTGGGCAGGAGCCTCGGACAACAGACGGCAACCTACCACTGGGCAGGGGCCTCGGGCAACAGACGGCATCCTACCACTGGGCAGGGGCTTCGGGCAACAGGCGGCAACCTACCACTGGGCAGGGGCCTCGGGGACTCAACGGGACTCTAGCTGTGGAGGCTGGCCACAGCACAGCTCCCACCCAGCTTTCTAGGGTCATTGGGTTCACAGGGACTCAACAGGTAGTGATGGCTCAAGCACTCAGGGGCACCACAGGTAGCTATACTCTGGGCATGCCATCAGGGCACGGGTGGTCAGTGCACACACAGCGGGGCGGTTCGGAACACGGGTGGTCGGTGCACACATCGGGGACAGTTCAGAACATAGGTGGTCGGTGCACACAACAGGAACAGTTCAGGACATGGGTGGTCAGTGCGCACAACAGGAGCAGTTCAGGACACGGGTGGTCAGTGCGCACAACAGGAACAGTTCAGGACACGGGTGGTCAGTGCGCACAACAGGAACAGTTCAGGACACGGGTGGTCAGTGCGCACAACAGGAACAGTTCAGGACACTCACGGTAAGCAGCTTGCAGACCCTCAGCTGCAGGCGGCTCCAGACAGGGACGACCAGCGGTCAGCGTTCCAGGGACGACCAGCGATCAGCAGACAGCAGCAGCTCCCAGGGCACTCAGCAGCAGACAGCCTCCAGGGACACGCAGCCATGGATAGTGTGCAGGGTCCCTCAGCCACAGCTCCCAGGGCACTCAGCAGCAGGCAGGGTGCAAGGGTGCTCATTAGACAGGCTTACAGACTGGCAGGGTCTCAGCTGTGGGGTCTGACCTTTGAGGAGAAGGCTCATGCAGAGCTGTGGAGACTCCCAACCCTGGGGTATTGTAGAGGGCTACAGTCCTGACCTTTTGGGGGTCTGCAGAGTGCGCCGGGGGGAAGGCTGGGGAGGCTCGGTCCCCCTCACCCGAGCCTCCCAACATCTTCCTGGGAGCAGGATGATTCTACCCACATGGCCAGGAACAAAAGGGAAGGCTGCTTCCTGTGTGGGTCTCTTGAAGATTATGTGGGACGCGGCTAGGTTGCCTCGGCAACGGCAGGCCCAGCCCTGTCCATGGAAGCTCCACAGACCTAATGTACAAGGAGGAAGGGAGGGGTGGAGGGATATGGCGGGGGATGGGAGAGGCACTGGCAGTCTGTGACACTGACTTTAGGCAAATGCCTGTTCAGACCCAAGTCCTAGGTGTAGTTCTGTTATTACCACCTTACTCCGAGCAAGAAAATCCAACTCCTGCAAAATATGCTATTGCACATGGAAGGCTTACTTTGCTTGGTGCAAGGATAGGAAGCTAAGACCCAGGGAATCCTCTCTCACTTGTATTTTGGCCTTTGTTCATCTGGTTCTGACCAGCGTCTGACTCTGGGTACCCTTAAAGTACATTTGAATCTTCACCTGGGAGGTGAGATGCTGCAAAAAATGGATCATTAACGCTATAAGTGCTTCATTGCCCATGTGTCTAAAGTCAATAAATGTTGAGATAACTAAAAGTGGGTAATTAGAATTTTGATTCCTTTCCTTCCAGCAAGAGAACTACTAGACAGTCTACTAGCTGGCACCTATAACCCCTTTCCCAGTATTGTGCTCATGAACAGCACAAGTATACACAGGAAGAATAGGTAAAGCTCCTGTTGTATTATTAGGTCTGTATTTTTCATATTTATAGAGAGTTCAGAAAAAAAGTCTATTGCACAAACTAGCTACTGCAGAATTCATCAGGTCATTTGTGTCTTCCTAATCAATGGCTGGGTGAGGGCAAATAAATTGATTCCATGTGTGGGCTGTTAGCAATTAAAGATCCTTTGCATGGTAGATCTGCTCCAGCATTTGTTTTTCTTATATTCAAACAACTGCTACTTAATGCACCATGACTACTGACTCGCATTATTGGCAATCATAAGTTTTATCTTTACATCAAGATTACTTAAGATATTGATGACGACCAATTAAATGTCAGGCATGGAAAAGCTATACTTCACAGAAAGCTTAATGAAATGTTTTACATATTACAACACATCTCAGTCAGACTTTGCAGATTACTTTTGTAACCTGAAAAATCTATTTTTATATCATCAATTTGTTGTAAAGTAATCAAACCTGCAGAAATAGGAATGTATGGAAAAAGCACCGGGGGGGGGGGGGGCAAGTAAATTAACAGCTGAGAATTCTAAGATAATGGGCTGATTTACAAAACATTCACTTTGAAAACAATACCCTATTATGTACCAGAAAAATCTAATAAAAAATGTTCTCGTTCATTAAAGCATCACTAAACAATATTCTTATTCTTCAGAGATAATCCTTACACATCCACTACTTAATGGCTCTGTAATTTATTTTTCTGTTTCCTTGTAATATACTCAGTAGGCTCTCAAACCTCTCCTTTATCCCCATCCCCACTGCCATTTGTTTGTAACAAGCAATGCGTTTTAGTTGTGATCATGTGCACACTGCAAATTTCAGTTTGTAGTCCATCTCTGAATTGAGCAGGAGTGGGTAGCTACTTTTCTTCCTACAGTAGGACCATGGAGAAGAATGAACATAGCCACCCCCCAAGAGAAAGTCAGATCACTCCAGCAAAGGAAAAAAATGTGGATTTGGAGGAGGATGGGAGAAATAAAAGATATTTTACAAAGTTAGGAATGCATACATGAATAGAATTTTTAAAATTCTTTTTATTGAAATTTTAAAAGTTATAGCAATAACACAAAGTTGATTTATTTTGTCTTTTTAAACCAGAGCTTACTGTCAATTTAGGTGCTGGGTCACACTGTTGTTCTGGCCAGGGGTGCCTTGTGCTTTTAAAGTGCAGAGCATCATTTACTTACATACTTACTTTTTTTTGTCTTACCACATTGTGATATGTCATTTGTTTCTCTGCAATGCAGCTGAGATGCAGTGCGTAGAAACACAGACAGAAATTGAGCTCCAGGTGAGCTGTGGTGCCAGAAGGAAAAAATGCTGACGCTGCAGATTTCAGCAATGCAGCTCATCCAAAGGCTGCAGTGACAAAAAAAAAACACAACAATGACCAGTCTGGTATAACCCCTCCCATTTCCAGCATGCCTTTTTTGCAGGGGCAAAACTATTTACAGTGTTTAGCTCATTGTGATCTGATATTAAGTAACACACTGTATTGTGTACAAAGTTAAACAAAATGCCAACCCACAGTGAAATAAAACATCTCCAAAGCACAAACCCATATTGCTCAGCTGAGGCAGTTGATTTACTGAAAAAGAAAATAGAATTACAATGCCGTGCTTCAGAGACAAAATCAAAACACTTGACACAGTAGATGGAGAGCATGCAAGCAATTTATTGGGGGTTAAGGCAGCAATGTAACAGGAATAGATGAGTTTTTCTAACAAAATACAATTTGAGTATGATTTTCCAGATATGGATATGGTGAGCCCAAATATTGTAGCGTTTCACTGCCTATTAAGCAAGCATTTGCACTTGGCCACTATGTAAGAAGAAGGGATATGGCATATTTTATTTAGAAAAGTTTATTATGTCAGAATCAATGTAGAACTATTGTACAAACACACAGCAACCATGTAAGTGTTTTTACTAGGCCACAATGTAAAATGGGGAGACTAGGCAGATTCAGTCCTCTTAAAATATACATTCAGAGATGCAGGCCAGTAAAACTCAACTCATTATCTGGATAGCATGTACTCCTTATTGTCTGCTAAGATTATATGTCATTGGGGGATCCAGTAAATCTGGGATATCCCAGTTATCTTGGGATAAACAAATCACAATGATTTTTTCTTTTTCAGATCGTAGACTTAAACAATTGATACAGACAACTACTCCACTATTCCAGAAGGAGAAAGCAAGCAGCTTGTATGTGTAAAAAAAAAAAGAAAATTTAGCAAGTTTGAAGTCCAAACAATTGTAACAGTTTTTAAGGACAATTTATAAGCCTTTTTCAGATTTTGGAAGGAGAGAGGTCAGATTGTACCTTGACATCTAATTTTTTCTTTTGAAGACTAAATATGAATGAAATGTAAGGTTTGCAGCACAGTTATTTAGGCTGTGTAGATACCTTGCAATAGAGTGACTTAGCATTTATAAAAAAAAAATATTTTTTGAGCATTGACAATGGAAATAACATACAGGTTTGCACCACAATCTACAAAGCCTGTTTGGACAGGCTGCAATTTGAGTGATTGAGAGGGCATTTAGCTTCAGGAAATAAATAATCAGAGTGTTTGCACACTGAGAATGGAAAAAGCATATATCTTAGCAACGCAAAGCAGCATGGACAGTCTGCAATTTTGGAGGGATAGAGCTGGCATGTGTTTTACACCAGGGAATTTTATATCCATGTGCTTATTTTGGACACTGAAGATGCAAACAGAAAACATCTTTGCAAAACAACCTTGAATCCTTCATTGTAAGGCTGCAATTTATGAGGGAGAGCGTAACCAGGTCGCAACGTGTCCAAAAAAATGTCAAATTTTACAGATTACATACACACCTTTATAAACCTTTTCACACGGTCTATTATTTGGTGAGAGAGAGAGAGCATGCAGATTACACCATACAATTTTTTTTTAATTGCAGAAGATGATAGAATTAAAGTACTTGTCAGCACAGCTTTTATACTCCTTTTGGAAAGGCCACTATTTTTGAGGGGTAAAGCAGGCAAATTTAATACTGAATAATATTAGATTGCATGTTTGCAGAGATAGTATTTAGGCATTGTACAAATATAAGACAGAGAATCTTAAACTTATTAATAGGAGACCAAATTGAAGAGAGTTGGCTTATTTCAAACTGAAACTGTAAAAGAAAGTATATTTAGGTGCACATCGACAATGGAAATTGTACACATTTTTAGAACATAAAAACAAAAAATTGCTGCGCTGCCTCTACCAAAAATACTTTAAATAAAATAAATAAATGAACTCCCTACTACATAAAGGATCCCTACAAATGTGCAAATACTACAATGCCCTGTGGGCTGACAATTACATCCCTCCTCGCCAGTGACTAAGTCATAAATAAACAATATGTAAATTTAATGTGCTTAAACGACAATAGTGCTGAAAATAGCACATATACAATGCCATCAAACTGTGTATACAGTGAAATTGTGTAAAAAACTAATATATATATTAAAGTTCCAATAATTGTGCAAACATATGAAAGTTCCAAAACAAATCCCAAAGAAACCCCCATCCACATTCAATGTGAATACTAAGTGATACAGTAGTAAATTTTCTTATCCATAGCAATTCTCTGTACTTAGTGCTCCCCCTCCAGAGCCCCACTCACCACAGATAATTGACCACCTGGAATGGTAAGTCAAATATCGCATAAGATGTTGCAGCGTTCTCCTGCAGGAAAGTTGGCCGTCTGTGTGGTCTTGATACCTCTATACGCTGATGACATACTCCATAGTGGAAACACCTCTAGACCAATTGTTTGCACTCACACATTTTTGCTGCGGTACACATTTGTGATTTTG